TTCGGTTCCCGTAATAACAAAATTTATTAAAGTTTTATTTTCTTCAGGAGTTGGCTCTTCAGGAGCGGCCTCTTCAGAAGGTTGAATTTTATTATTAGTAATATTTTGATTATTCGATCCTCTTTTCTTTCGAGAATTCTTATCTTTTGAACCAAGAGGTCTACCACACTTCAGGCGTGCTTTAGAATCATTAGCACTTTAAATTTTTCCTTCTGGGATATTAATTTTAATTGAAGCATTTTCTGCTGGAATATGCGATTTAATAATTCTTCTAGAATCACTAAAAATATTCGGTAATTGGTTTGCAATTTTTTATAAATATATAATCCTTTAAACTTCCAATTCACATTCTTTTGTACGAGGATCAAGAAAGTCTAATGATATTTTTTAAGTAATTTTCTTTTTCGGTTGATCTTTACCTCCCCCTAATGTCGGGAAATATGATTCATCAAAATGTCAATCTGCAAATCTTGTAGTAAATAAATCATCTGTTAATGGTTCAACATATTTAATTATAGAAGGTGATTCATACCCGACATATATCCCAAATCTTCTTTGAGGGCCCATTTTAGTATGTTGAGGCAGTGTAATAGGAACATATACCGCACAACTAAAAATTCTTAAATAAGAAATATTGGGCTCGTGACCAAGAACTAATTATAAGGGAGAATAAATACGATAACTTATCGGCGTAATTCTCACAAGTGTTGATGCATATAATATAGCATGTCCCCAAGCATATAAAAGAAGTTTAGACCTCATTAACAATGGTCTTGCAATTAATTAAAGTTGTTTAATAAATGACTCGGCTAGACCATTTTGTGTATGAACATGAGCTACAGGATGTTCAACACTTATCCCAATAGCCATGCAATAATCATTAAAGATATGTGATGAATATTCACTAGCATTATCTAGACGAATTTTCTTAATGGGATAATCAGGAAATTATACTCGTAATTTAGTTAACTGAGCAAGCAATCTCGCAAACGTTAGGTTGCGAATAATAAACTTACATGTGACCATCTTGTTGATACATCAATTAGTACCATAAAATATCTAAATGGTCCACATAGTGGATCTACAGGCCCACATATATCACCATGAATTCGTTCTAGAAATGCAGGGGGTTCAGTTCCCACTTTCGTTGGTGATGGTCTAACAATTAACTTCCCTTAGGAGCAAGCAACACACGCGAATTCATTAGAATTTAGTATTTTTTTGATTTTTCAATGAATGGCCATGTGAATTTGTAATTATTCGCCTCATTATTATAGAACCAGGATGTCCAAGGCGATCATGCCAAATTATAAAATCATTGAGATTAGTAGACTTCTGGTCTTCAAGGTGATACATTTTAGCTGCACATTTTTTTGTATAATATAAACCAGAAGATAGAGAAAGCAACTTTTCTAATACGCAATTCTTCTCAGAAATGGTATTTGTAATCAATAAGTATTCACCATTTGTCTCATTCATCGTCTCGATATGATATCCATTTCGGCGGATATCTTTAAAACTTAGCAAATTTCTTCGAGACTTTATCGAGAGTAGTGCATTATTTATGACAATTTTAATTTCTTCGGGGAGAAATACAGTAGCTCTTCCAGAGCCATCAATCAATTTAGCACTACCACTTATTGTGTTAACATTTGTTTCTTCCATTTTCAAATGAGAAAAATACTTTATGTTTTTAAGTATAGTGTGTGTAGTAGCACTATCAATGAGACAAGTATTATCATCAACCATTGTTTGATCCTAAATATTTGGCATCCATTTCTTCTCGAAAGTTTATCTAAAATATCAACACGTGCCCAGCGATGAATCTAATGGACTTGAAGAATATTGTTTCAATGGTAGAGTCTCGTGCTGATAACGTGTTATGAAACTAATGAAGTAGAGAATAAAAGGTAGACGAGAAGTAGATATAAATTTTATTTCATTCGTTCTTCTTTGCTATATCAAAGTGAGGAATGAATATCTCTATTTATATACAAACTAAAATGATGGTACATGAATCATATTAATTACTCATTTATGAATTTAGTTTTTCAAGAACATGCATTGTGTTGTTCTAGAAAGAATATTAATGTACTAGGGGGAATATCAACTTCTTGAGAAACTAAATGGACATCCACATTATTTCAAAACAGTAAGATGAAACTATGTATAAAGGACTACATGATTAATTATTATAGTTTGGATAATTGTTATAATTTATTCATAATTTGTTAAATAATTTCTTCTCTTTTAAATATAATAATATTATACATAGCATAATTATAATACTCTTAGTAACTACATTTTAATTTCATAATTAGTTTATACACTATCAGTAAATAATTTACTAAATTCTATAATTATTAAATAAGAGCGTAATTTATTAATTTAAAAAATGATATTAAAATCATTATATTGTTAATACAATTATAATTACATTAAATACAAATGTTTTTTTTATACTTTTATCATACTTCTAAAATGCCAATTATATGAAAGGTAACGGGTAGTCCTCCATAAGAGGTAAAACCCAAAGGCATAAGACATAAGCCTAATGAATTTTTATTATTTTTAGTTTTTCTAGAATTTTAAATATTATGTGAAGATAAATTAGGGATAAATTTCAAATTTTCTATTAAATAACATAATTAAATAATAAAATAATAGTATGACCAAAGGCTTTGAAAAGGTAAGAAAATGCATAATTAATAAGAGATTACATATAATTAGCGAATGATTAATTACAAGTAATGATATATTTGAGAATTATCAAACTTAAAAAGAGTAAAAATAAAAATAAAAAGTTTTGATAAGACAATCCTTTTTTATATGTGTGTGTGCGCGCGTGCGTATATAAACACCACTGAAGTTAGAGGGTCTACCACTGTAGAACGTCTTTTCATAGGTAAAGTAAAAAATGTTATTAGTAAATTTGCATCCCAATAATGTCTTAACCATTAATTCATGAATTGGTTGGATCGCTCAAATTGCCTAGTGGAGGTCTTGGGTTTGAAGCTTGCCTTCCACAAAAACATATTTTTTTACCTAATAATAATAAGTAGGTAAATGATTGTAGGACCAAATAACTATCAACGTTTTTCAATTTTTCATAGAAAACGTCAACATCTTTTGGAAAAATTACGCCAAACCCTCAATAACTAGCCCTCAATAACTTTCCAAATGCCTTCTATGTTTTTTCCTCAAATTAAGGGAGTCATTGGTTCTAATTTATGGGTGAGGTTTTCTATAAAAATATTACGGGTTTAGTGAGATTTTAAAAATTGTTAGGGGTCAATTGCAAAGTGCTAAAAGACATGTATGTTGCCAAGAAATTATTATGCATAAAATGTATTTTTTTAGAGCTAGGCGCACCTCAATAAATAGCATTTTGCATATAAAAACCAATTTATAAACCAATTATAAAATGATTTCTAATATAGCAATAATATGAACTTTAATAGGATAATATAATAAGACAATACTTCATGGACTTTAATGAGATAATATAATAAGAGGATGAGGTGTAATATAAACATCTTTTCTTATAAGCCCAATATTTAGCCTAATTAGTTTTAAATTCACCTTCCTTCTCTAATAAACCTAAGTTCTCACCCCTTCCACCCAAATTTTTATTTTTAAATCTGACTACATCTAAAATCACTCTTAGACCCAAAATGCTTTAACCAATGATTTACTCTATATTCTTAAAACATGCTTGCTTTCAGAAAGAGCTTTTCCCCCTGTAAATATAAACTTTTACCCCCATTTATTTTTTAATCCACTCATTCCCAAAATCACTCCCGCACCCAAAAAACTCAATAAGTTACTATAAATTTAGCTTGTATTCTAGCAGTTTATTATATACCGTGAGTTGCTGAATTTGTAGGACTTTTGCCAACACTAATGTAAATAATATATATATATATATATATATTATATATATATATATATATAATATATATATATATAATAATATATACTATATATATATATATACATACTTATATATATATATATATAATATATATATATATATCATATATATATGAGAATAATGGTATCCGTTGTCATAGGAGGGGATATTCCTCCTTGAAAATGCATGTGCCACAATCCCCACGCATGGATACTTCTCTCTACCTACTGTATCACATCGCGTGCCAGGATTGGCCACATCATTTTCAAGAGAGAATCCCCTCCTTGACATAGGATACCCATTGTAAACCTATTTATTAAGTATAGTATAGAGATATATATATATATATATATACTAATACTATATATATATATTACACACACGTTGCAATTTACAAATCAAATATTAAACTATTTTTTATTTTTTCACACTAATGTATATTGTATTTTTTAAGCCAAATATTAAAAAAAAAATCTTTTTTCACCGATGTCGTATCATCAAATTTTTAACTAACTTTTTACCTATAAATCAGAAGTTTTACGCCCACTTATTTTTAAACTCACAACAGTCAAAAAATAATTTTTTTGCTTATAAACCCAAAAGTTTTACCTTCATTTATTTTAAAAAACTCACCCTATTCTGAAAATAATCTTAGATCCATAGTACTCCTTTAATTATTTTTAAATGCCTAAGCACTTTGGTACATGATGTAAGTTGCTATATTATCCTCTGGCTTCCATAATTTTCTACAACTTGTTATGTATGTGTATTATATTTTGAACCAAATAGTTAAATTTCTTTACATCTTTTCTCACGTAAAATTTATGATGTTATAGGTAAACTTTTAACCAATAAACTTAAAGTTTTATCCCTATTTAAATTTATAATCATCAACCTCCAAAATAATTTTTTATCTAAAAAGCCAAAGATTTACACTCAATTATTATTAAACCCATCCACTTCTAAAATCACTCTTACACACAAAATAGTCAACTGATGTATTTTTCACTCACTTTGTATAACAAAAACTGGATATACAGTGTTAATTGCTATATATTGTTTATTTTTGCTATAATTTTTTCTAAGTAATGCTCGAATAAATTAACTCTTACAGTGTTAATTCCTTCTCTAACAAACCCTAACCCTAACGAGAGAGATCGGGAAAATTGCTGCAGGCCACTTTTATAAAAACCCCGCATGGCGACGGAGAGCAGAGAGGTACGCTCTCTCTTTGATTTCTTTCGAAATTCCCCTTCTAACTGCCCTCTTCTTAACGGAATTGAAATCGTTCGGCGGATTACTGGTCTATTTATGTATAAAGAGTGTTAACCTTTTGTTTTCTTTAATTAATGATATTTTGTGCAGGCTTTAGAAGAATTTATTGCAGATTTGAGAACAACAAAGATCAAAGCTACGTACCTGAATCGACGGTACCAGTTTCTTAAATCTTTCGTTCCATGGCTCGAACACTGCTTATCTGGGATGTTGGTGGAAGATGGGGAGAGAAGCGAATCTGCCCCTTTTTTTCAGGTCAACGGCCCTGCTGCGGAGGAGGTAACTAACGGATCTCAAGCTATATAATCCTCTCCGATCCTGGGATCATATAGTTAATGCATCTCATCTTTACCACAGCTTATTGATTCGATTCATGAAGCTAGAAAGCAACTACATCGTTTAGAAGAGAAGGCTCGCTCCAAAATTGCTGAGATACCATATTCCCCTCCTTGGGTGATACTTATATTTATCTCAGCTCGCATTGAGTTCCTTTTATGTTCAGTTCTTTTGTTACTCAACTTGGAGACTGTTGCAGGGAACGGAGAAGGACGACTTCCAGGATTATGAATACAAGACATGGGAGATTGTTAATATGGCTGAAAAGACGCAGGTTTCCGTTTTCTTTCAAAATTCTACATGCTACACCTATCTTAGGTTTCTTAGCTATCGAGCCTAACTTGTATGTTTTATCCTACCATTTTTAGGCTGACACAATGGATGGAATAAGAAACAAATGTAACGAAAGCCAAGAATGCAAAATGGTACTCCCACACTTGTTACTCCTGTTTCAGGACAGCTATCGTACGGTATGTGCTGCACTTGATATGATGATTTACTATAGTAATTATCTTTCAGCTATATTAATTCATTGAGTAATTGTACCAACATGGACTCGTTAAACTGTTAAATGTATTGTTCCTTGTATACATTTTAAACTAAGATAGCACTTTTCATAAACCAATTAGTTGTGCAATTTTCCCTTCTATGACAAACCATCTCTTACTCGTGATGAAATCTTTTTTATACTTCCTGAAGGATCTTTGTGTTTATCATAAGACGTTTTATTCTGTAATCTGTATGCTTTTGTTGTGCAAAATTTTTTTTTCAGCATATTTTTCAGGATCCAAGCATTTATCATGTGTTTCTTATGAAGAACATCAGTTTGCATGTGGAATTTTTATCTTTGTTGCTTTTCCCTCACAAGAGGTATGCATTTAGTGCAAGCTTCTTTATTTTCCTATTAGCAACAACAAACTTATGATTTCGAGAGAGTTAAACTTTCTTCTTTGACCCACATCCTTTTAAAGTGCAAAAAATGTATATTCAGTGTATAAAACACGAGGAGATGTTGATGACTAAGAAATCAGGCATGCTTATGTACCGTACTAGAGAAGCTTTCAACACTTAGGATATCATGTTCCTTCTAGTAGACCAGCTTTTGACACTTGACTTGGCCAACACTACTTGATGTAATGATGTTGCATTTAGCTATATTGTTATTTGATACTATTACGACATACTTTGGAAACCGTTACACATGGAGCCGAGGAATCCATATATCCGTTTGGCAAGCAAATCAAATGAATATTTTTCAAGCTATAGAACACAAGCAGTGAATAACTTAGATTGCAAGTTTTCTAAATTTAGGAGGAAGTAATTTAATTGATATGTGCATGACACATACATACGTAAATGCATACATATTATGTGCTGCATATGAATGCATACGTGGATACATGTATGTTTCAACAAAATGGGTATTATGCTCTGTAAAGATGAAACTTACTACCGTGAGTTGTCCTAACTCCTATGTCCATGACTTGACCTCTTGATCCTCAGTGCTTGGTCTATCAATCAATATCTCCATCATTTATGATTATGATATAAAGCACTCAGAAGATTAATGGAAATTTTGTATTTCATTTTCTTTCTGTTAATGTAAAGTTGGACGAGAGACAAACATTTACAACTACTATAGAAACCTATCAAGACATTTTAAGCGACTAAGTTTCTATAACCCTTCCTCTTTAAGGCTTAAAAAAGAAGAGTTTAAAAAGAAAAGGAAAAAAATGGAGGAGAAAGAGTAGAGGAGAAAGGGATAAGAGGAAGGGAGTTACGTGATTACTATTTTATGTCTCCTAATAGCATCCATCGACCATTTATTGTCTTTTTTTTTTCTAAAATTGTATGTCATCTTTATAGTCGACTTCATTATATAAATTTGCTGATTGTTGATAAAATGTTGTTTACCTCGTTGAATCTTAGGGAATAAACTCTTGAATACAAATGTCACATTTCTATTGTGTTTTTTTGTAGTTTAATAATATTTTGTGTCAAGTAAGAGCCCGTAATGCGAGCAGAATGAAGCACATGTGCATGGAAGAAGAACCTCAGAAGTCACGGGTATGTCTTATCATCATCCAAAGTGGTATTCATTTTCTGCACTGTAGAAGGAAATATGAAAAGCTACATGAAAAAGTAAGAAGGGAGCTTTACTTTTGAAAAGTTTCACAATATTAGGAGTACAATTTTTTTTTCATTTCTCTTTATATTATTCGTTGTGCTGAAATGATTTTCAAGGTAGAGGAAATCGAAGTGCTTGTTTCCTTTCAAACTTGACTTTTATGTTATTGTTTTGGATTCCCTCTTCCAAAACCTGATCCAATCCTCTTGCCGAAATTTAAATCTCTTCAATCATAAATCATATAGAACATGTTTTTTGGTTAATGCATATTATTTTGTAGTCTTATAGAGCTCAAGCGTAAGTTCATCTATGGTGCAGGCGTATGATTTAGAATGTGTGCCTCTCTATCTTCAAGTGATACGTGGAGATGCATGCAGTCAGTTATCTGAGTTTGAGGATAAATTTGATTACTTGGTTTATCAAGCATTACATTACATTTCAAGGTTACAAGAGACGGGTGGAGAACTTTTTGTAATACGTATGTCAGAGAACAATTATGAGGTTATAAATTGCTCAATAATTTTTATCTCCTGAATTATAGTTTCAGCCTTCTACTAAGATTTAATCTTTCACAGCTTCTGACCTCAATTTTTTATCTCCTGAATTATAGTTTCAGCCTTCTACTAAGATTTAATCTTTCACAGCTTCTGACCTCAATTGTGGAAGCAAGACTTAATATGTATGACGCTAGACATGAACTTCAAAAAGACCTTCAACGGAATGTGGTCCAATCTTTTCTTTCATGGAAAAGGGATCAAGTGTCAGAGCACACGAAGAATCATCCAATACATGAGTCCCAGGTACTACTACTTGTTTCATTATATTTAAGCTTCTCCTTTGTCATATTACTAATTCATTTGGGACCATTGCAGTTGATCAAACAAGCATTGGAAATCTACAGAAAGGGGCAGGTGGAAATCATTCAGAAAGAAAAGGAAAAGGTTTGCATCATCTTCTCTACCGTGCCACCTTAATTGGTTATTGATATCAACCTTAAATGTCCAAATTTGCAGGTCGAGGCAATAGAAGATATTTTAAGAGGACATGAAGAACGTCCAGGATTTCAAGAAGCACGGCGCTATTTATTGGCTTTTAAGGAGGAGTATTATGCAGTGGTCTGTGCAACAAATATGATTGACATGTGAGAGATTTTTTTTTAACTATAGCAGTTAACATTTTGCCATCTAGCATGTGACCCAATTGTGAACTTAAAACAATATTATTTTATTTTTCCTTTTTAGCTTGTCTTGTACTCTTTGGGAAGACTTGTTCCCAATGCCAAAACACAATTTCACCGAGATGGAACCTACTTTAGTATGTTTAGAGCTTAGGGACAGGATTTTTTCATGTACCATTGGACACATCTTGTATGCCTGTTTTTCTTGCCTGTTGCTTTTCTTTCGTCATGTATATTAAATGTTCAAGGTGTCTGTCCATTTGAACTTAAAAGAACAATCTGAAGGAGTCCGTGTTCAAGAATCATCTCCTTAAATATGTAATTTTTTATTATTTTCCTTAGCCTGTACCTTTTTCATCTGCTTTTGAATACTAAATTACATAAATAATGTCTTACAAACAGGTTTTTGACATTGAAACTGTCCTTGCATGGAAAAACCATTGCATAGATATTAGGATCCTATATTCATTCTATTGCAAACACTTAGCATACTTCATTGCACTTGTCCTAGATGCCTGACTTTGAGACTACATCCAGAAAAGATATTTTTTGAAACGTATAGAATTATCTATTTTTCAACATAAAAGAGCAACTTATTCCTTTTGGTCTGTCACTTTTTTGGCCTAAGAACATGCATGAAATCAGTATACATTTTTCATGAACACCTGTTAAATTAGCTAACACATCCAAAAGTTTTTTTTGAAACCTACAGAATTATCTACTTTTAAGGGTTTTTACATCAAAACCACCTGTACTTTTACCAAAATTGCTACTTACCACCTTTAAATTTTTTTGATTAGTACCACATTTACTTGCTACCATGTTTGCAATGTCACACCTATTTGCATTTTTGGCCCAAAAAACTTGAAATGACAAAAATACCCTCACCCCAAACACGTGCAAAGCACGTGTGTCTAATTAATTATAAAAAATAAAGATTTTTTCAGTTTTAGTCCCCCAAAATATTTCATGTTTTGATATTAGACCCCAAATCAACATATTTTGAAATTAGGGTTTTGAGGTGGTTTTTTCTTGGATTGAAGGGAGAGAGAAGATTGAGGGTTGGTGAGGTTAGGATTTGGGGGTTTTTCCTTAGATTGGAAGGAGGGTAAATGATTGAGGGGAGATGTGGTTAGTGTTTGGAGATTGTGTTAGGGTTTGGGGAGTTTGGTAAGAAGATTCGTGGTTGTGTGGAGGAGAGAGATTTGAGGGACTAGTTTCAAAATATGAAATTTTTGGAGGACTAATATTGAAAAAAAACCCTTAAGTTTATAACTAAATAGGAAACACGTGAAAAGCACGTGCCTTAGCTGGGGTAAGATGGTCATCTCATGTGTTTTTTGGGTTGAAAACGCAAATAGACGTGACATTGCAAACATGTTAGCAAGTAAAGATGGTAGTGATAAAAAAGTTTAAAAGTGGTAATTAGCAATTTTGGTAAAAATAAAGGTGGTTTTGATGCAAAAACCCATTGTTTAACATAAAAGAGCAACAATTCCTTTTGGTCTCTCAATTTAATTGGCCTAAGAACATACATGAACGTGAACGAGCAAAAACAATTACACGACTATGTTACTGTAGGCGTCTAAAAATGCCTATAGGTTCCCGCACGTGGCTCGAGACAGAGAGAAAGACGATGAACTTCACTATCCGAGTCACAGAAGCTTATTTGACGTTGACAAGTGTATGAAGTGAGTCGACGAACCGTGTGAAGCAACGGAACTTCAGAATAACGAAAATACGAACTAATCGGGAGCTACGCTTCTTTTACGAAACACGAAGCACCCCTCGTGTCCCGTTTACTTCACATGTCATTCAACCATGGGAGCTTGTAGATCTCCTCGTCGGCTTTCCTACGCACTTTGAATCGCGCAATTCCGAGTTCGGATGACAAAACGAACGGGACGCACGAAACAAAGCTCAGAGCCAAAGCTAAGACACCACAAGTCGGTTTTCGCTGTTTTGAAGCGGTTTTTGCTGTTTTGAAGCCGAGACACCGCGGGTGTCTGCAGCCAAAAACGTGATAAAGTGGTTATAATTGAGGATAAGAGTGAATCGTCCGTTCTTATCCGAAAATAGAACTCCCGAAGCCTATAAATACAGTCCTAGGGCCTTCATTTGCACAGATTTGGAATTCTCAAGCCTCGGCGAAGCCCTGCTGAATTGAAGACTGAAGGAGTACGAATTTCAGAGAGGAGAAGATCGGATCGAGTTCTTCAGCATAAAGAAGAAGAGTTCGTCAGATCTACAGTTCCCGGTTCCTTTCCTTGAGATTACCTCATTGCGGTGATCTCGAGAAGAGTGGTTATCTCGCTGTTGCCGAGATAATCGCTTCGGTTTCTTGATTCTTTCGCGAATCAACGAAGCTCTGGATCAATCTGATCGTTTGGTGGTCCACGGATATCAACGTCCCCGTCACATGCAAAGATCTCACACAAGCAGTGGGAGATAAATGTCTGTTGCGTTTGTTTAAAAGAAAATTGTAATCTTTTGTTAAAAGTCTTATAAAAAGACTATTTCTTTGAGTTTGTTGTAACGCCCAAAGTTGTAATGAACTCATCAACGAAATCAATTTTCCACCCAAACAGTTACATCTTTACAACACATTGGAGCCACATATAACCTTATCATGCACAAAGTGTGCACATGGTTGGCATATATTCCTGTCTTAGAATACTGGTCTTGACAGATGTTAGGAAATTAGGAAATATCTATGAATCCAGTGTTGCTAGAAACCAAATGTGACTGGTTTTAGAAGCCGGAGGTGGCTCCAATCAAGGATACATGATGGTGAGGGATATTTGACTGGTCATGTTTTTCTTCAAGGCGCGAACTTCCTGTTTTATTGCATAGCTTTTCGTACAATCTTAGACACTTAGATGCGTTTTGAAAAGTTAGCTGGTATTGTTTTTTTATCTTTGTAATCAACAAAACCCAAAAAGCTTTTGGTACAATCTTTAGACTTCTTGGTGCATTTTGAAAAGTTAGCTGGTATTTTCTATCTTGGTAATAAACAAAATCCAAAATCGCTTACTTGTTGATTTGTTATCTCGCTTTTAATTGGGTTCTTTGTAGTTCTTAACTCCTGGATACTAATTTAAGTCAATGTTTAGGCTGTTTAACTCTTTAGCATATGTCCATTCTTGAAATGCATCCTGTTTATCATTTTTTGCAGATTGCTGAAGAGCTACGTCGAGTAAAACTATGGCTGCAAGTCAAATACCGGGAAGATTTGCCAAAACTAGAGAATCAAGTTGAAGATGAGATTATGGAGGTATTAACTAGCCATTCCACATTTTATGTGAGAGCCTTCATTATTAATTAATTGTTGCGGTTTAGGAATCTGTGCAGATTAAATCAGATTCATTCATGCAGAAAGATAAAGATGGTTGCCTGGAGGTCCAAGAGGAACTAGATCTCCAAGTATCGGAGGTATGTTTTTCGTTATGACTCAGTACTCAAACCTATAAACGATAGGACATGGTAATGTATATGATTTTATAGTGAGATATCTGGATTTGTATCCAAAATATCTAAATGTATGTTGGTGATACTGCTGCAAAAGTTTTCATCTGTAGATTAATGGATTTGATGCTAATTTTGATGATCAAGATGTCTAATCTTAGCTTTTCATAAATAATGAACATATTAATGAGCTCTTTTGTATCACCTGAACTATATATACCTTTTTAATATTATCTAGTTTTCTTATATCAATTTTGCATCTGCATCATATCCGCTTATATATCCGCAAATATATCGTATCCGTATCCGATTTTAGTGGATATGGATATGAATTGTTCTCACCGAGGTATATTCGTATCCGTGATGAGTAAGCAGATATGGATATGGTAAGTGTCATATCCGAGCTGTATCCGGACTAAATGCACCCTTTCACACGTAACATAGTTGTCATAATTCTGACTAAAAATTATCAAAGTATTTTTGGCTAGTTTATAGTATTTTACCTATATTACGTTAATTTTCAAATCAAGTTTCTTAGGAGCCTAAATGTTCTTTATTTAAAACCTTTTTGAAGATGTAAGGGCTAAATAGAAAATTGTTTGTTTTTGCTAATGTTTAGACTTGGATGTAAATTTTAAAAAATATCAAATCGAAATTATATCAATATCAAAGTACATATATAGTCTTCCCGTTGATGTAAATTTTAAAAAATATCAAATCGAAATTATATCAATATCAAAGTACATATATAGTCTTCCCGTTGAACCAAATCTACATTTGACTTGAAATTCCTTTTATCTATTTGTGTGTTTGAACCAAATCTACATTTGACTTGAAATTCCTTTTATCTATTTGTGTGTGGTGTGTACGTGAGTGCATATGTATAGAGATAATAGACTTAAATATTCAAATTTCTGTTCATGAAATAACTTAGATAAATTACACTTAAGTGCCCTATTATTGCCCAATATTGCACAAAAATACCCTATGTTTAGAACCCTACACTTAAATGCCCTAAAGTTTCTAAAAATTTGCATTTTAGCACCCTAATTAGGGTACTAATTTGCAACTTTAGAAACTTTAGGTATTTAAATGTAGGATTTTAAACTTGGGGTATTTTTGAGCGATATGGGGCAGACAATAGGGTATACCCAATAGCTTATAGAAAATCAATTGCTGTATAACCTATTAGTACAAGTGTGGAATTAAATAGTTGTACCATCCAACTATATTTTCTTTTATCTTCACAGATTTAGTTTAAAGAGCTGGCTAGTACGCAATTTTGCGTAGTAGTGGTTCTAATTTTTCGCAACTTATCTTCTTTATGTTAGGAGGCGGCGGCAATCATTTTGAAGAGCTTGGACGGGCAACTGGAGTTATCGTCATCGACAGCGGAAATAGTGGCTAAGCAGTCGTTTAAAATATGGCACATGCTGAAGATGAATGAAAAAGTTGTGAAAATTCCTGTTGGAAAGAAGATTCTTCGTATGGCAATCATCTACTGCAAGAAACATGGCGAGGCCAAGAGTTTTGCTTTTGATTATTTCGTTGACGACTGTGGACACTTTTGTCCGGATGACCACCCTGAAGAGTTTACTGCTAATTTAACCATCGATGAGGGTTTTGAACAGTGGGATTCTGAGATGTTACTGAAGAACGCCGACAAAGCAACAATTTTTGAGCTCGTAACAGTACGTACACTACATACTTATATTGTTGTTATTGTCGTGCTAATGCTGAAATCATGGATTTGATTAGTTTCTGATTTGCATGGTTTATCATAGTATGTCTCCTTGTAGGCAACTTTCCTTATGGTATTTTGCTTTGCAAATGCTGCAGAATTGAAGGACTTAAATTCTGCTATGATGTACGTGAATGGTATAATAACAAGGTTTACAGGGAAATAGAAGGAATGAACTGGTTGAACTTTTCGATGTCTAACAACTAAGAAAAATGATTGAGACAAGCTTAGTGGTATAACCATGTCCTAATTCGATCAACATTCACATCTTTTCTGTCAATTTTGACTGTAAAGAAAGATAGACACACTGGGAAAGTACATATTAGACAATGAAGTGATGTCATATGGTCCCTATTGTTTGTCCTTGAAGATCACTATTATGTGCAAAGTTGGAAGAGAGGTCGTTGGCATACCTTTGTAAACCAACTGCTGTCTTGATATTGGTGTAGCAGCCTATCTAGGAGGGGATGCTTTGGCTTTAATTCTGGTGGAGAATGTCTATGATGAGATAATTATTATACCTTTTGAATAGGAAGCACGATATAGTCTCTCTCTCTCTCTCTCTCTCTCTCTCTCTCTCTCTCTCTCTACACACAAAACTCACTCCAAAAGAAACCAAAAGCAAAGAAACTAGTGAGTGTTGGGAGTTTTCATGGTATACATAATCGGTGCATAAATCGATGGCATAGTACATTTCAACAGTTCCAGGTTTGATAAGCCAGCAGTCCCAAAAGTGCTCGAGTTTTCTCATTTATTTTTTGTAGCTTAGCAAATGCAAATTCGCATATGAAAATTAGTTTCTATCCATTAACAAAAGCAAAGGACACAATCAGATAGCATCACTGTGAAAATACTATATAGTATATACAACATGCATAGTTGTAATCCCTCTAGGAAGTTCACCAGAAGGTGATATATACCTGCCAACATTTTTTTGTTCTTCAAATTTTTACCACCGCTTATAAGCTTTACATCACTTCCTTCAGTAGTAACTCTTCATCTATGGACAACTGACAGTGTAATTATCAAATTATATACATTGTGCGAGGATTTCAAGTGCTACAGCAGTTATGAAAAATAATTCTCGATATGTTGGCCAAAATGTGCATCAAGACTGAAATGTATAGGAAAAATAGAACTTCAAAAGATGTCAACAGTTTGACAGGAGTACCATGCATAGACTACATCAGAAAAATCTTATTATCTGAGTTACTGATGAATACATCAGACAAATAATTTAGGTTCCTTTGATAGCATAACAAAAATTTTCAACAAAGAGAATCCTGCAGTATATGATCAGAGCTCTTAATAATCCAGTTGAAGTATTTAAGACAATTTCATTCGTGATAATGGTTAAATCCCCTCCTGCAAAGTGTGAACTTTTATGTTTGTTCCCAGTATGTAAGTATGAATTATCTTGTTCAAATGTTGCTTTCACATGGAAAGTGAAAACATTCTCTATCAAAAGGCACAAAAACTTATTAGACAATATCACTTTAGGACGTAAATGTGATTTTTTCTTATATGAAGTGATACACAGGTATATGCGTTAGGGAAATATTTATGCTATTTCTCTGGTGGTCATTGACCAAATTACATGAAGCAAACTAATAGCATAAACCTTCACGTATTTATAGTAAATTATTTGAATACCCCCCTTAATTTTAAGCATGGACACCGGCATGAGACAAACTTGACTTTAGCACAGATATGCGGAATGTCACTACCTCAGAAAGTTGGAGAAGATGCTAATGCGACGCGTAAAGATGAATAGTAAGAGAGTTCAAATATACACATATGTAGATATGGCACTGTTTCTGAAACTCCACCACATATTTGATAATAAATTAACACATTTTTCGACAACACATTGACGTATAATGGTTGCATTTATGCTAAGATTCTAACCTGTCAAACATTTCTAACTTTGCAAGAGGGATATGCCTTGGCTCCTTAATTTTTTAAAGGTTTACTATACGTAGTGCATGACCAACTTACATTGCTAATATTTGATGTCCGATTGTTCTTTTCATGTATTTTAGTGGAGTAGTGATAGAGAGATTGCTGCCAACTTGAAGAAATTTTGTGCAAGAGTATGCGTAAACATTGTTATATGCGAAATCTTCGGAAAGTGATAATATGAGTAACTGGCCTAAGACCTGATTAAATTTTGTAAGCTGTAGAAACAGTGAAGAAACGTAAGAACGTCTTTATAGGTTCTCCTGCTGTAATGTTTACTGTGTTCAAGGATATTTCTTGGAAGAATATTGGTACTGAATCTTTAATCTTGACATCTATTTTATCCTAAATAAGATGTTCTCTTTGGTTATGTCAGGCAGCAGAGCATCTGTACATTCAAGGGCTGCTGGATCTGGTTGGCAGAGCTGCAGCGGACATGGTAATTTGGAAGAGTGGAGAGGAGATTTGTGAGAAATTCCATCTCAAATTCGACTTTACACAAGAAGAACTAGAAGAAGCCGATGAGGAGAACGAATCAATGGGGGGCGTATCAATGAGGAAGGTTAATATGGATGGTTTACGTGATATGGCTGATTACCTCACAAGTTCACTATCCTGAATATTAACTCTCTGGTTTGTTCGTTAACAAATATATTATGACATGCATATTCCTCCTTGAAGGATAGGTGTTATGTTCAAAGCAAGTCTTGTGATGACCATACTTTGAGCGATATCAGTTGCTTATATTTATTTTCACTTTTAGGTTTCCTGGGACGTCTGGTGCTGTTGTATACGTTCTGCTAAAAAAGTGCTCTGTCGTATACATTCTGCTAAGAGCAATGAATTGATGATGATCTATTTGTACTCTTCCTGCTGCAATGGTTAATCGTCAGCTTGATATTTGTCCTTGTCGTTTGTTTACTTTTTACAGTATAATAATTTTCACTTATACAACAACATCAACAATAAAGTGTATAAATAAAATAATATATTATATTATTAAAATATTATATTAAATATATTGATATTATATTATATTAATTATTATATATAGTATAGCATGTTAATATAATATAATATAATACAATATAATAATTAATTAATAATAATAATTTTTAAGTATAGTACAATATATTATATTTTAAAATAAAGTAAAATAATATTTATATCATAATAATATACTAAATAATATACTAAACCGTTAATTTAGAAGTAATTAATAGATAAAAATATTTTTTAATAAGGTACCACATCATCAATTATCCCACATGAATTATCAAATCAAATGTTCAAATTATCCTATTATCCCACTTTATCTTACTTACCCCACTCAAAAAATCTCAAAAGGATAAAATTATTTCATTAGAACAATTTTCTTACTGTCCCCAATTTGCCCCAACTTCCCAACCAATAACCCCCCTAACGAAAGAGATCGGGAAAATTGCTGCAGGCCACTTTTATAAAAACCCCGCATGGCGGCGGAGAGCAGTGAGGTACGCTCTCTCTTTGATTTCTTTCGAAATTCCCCTTCTAACTGCCCTCTTCTTAACGGAATTGAAATCGTTCGGCGGATTACTGGCTTATTTATTTATGTATAAAGAGTATTAACCTTTTGTTTTCTTTAATTAATGATATTTTTGTGCAGGCTTTAGAAGAATTTATTGCAGATTTGAGAGCAACAGCGATCAAAGCTACATACCTGAATCGACGGTACCAGTTTCTTAAATCTTTCGTTCAATGGCTCAAACAATCCTTATCTAGGATGTTGGTGGAAGATGGGGAGAGAAACGAATCTGCCCCTTTTTTTCAGGTCAACGGCCCTGCTGCGGAGGAGGTAACTAACGGATCTCAAGCTATACAATCCTCTCCGATTCTGGGATCATATAGTTAATGCATCTCATCTTTACCACAGCTTATTGATTCGATTTATGAAGCTAGAAAGCAACTACGTCGTTTAGAAGAGAAGGCTCGCTCCAAAATTGCTGAGATACCATATTCCCCTCCTTGGGTGATACTTATATTTATCTCAGCTCGCATTGAGTTCCTTTTATGTTCAGTTCTTTTGTTACTCAACTTGGAGACTGTTGCAGGGAACGAAGAAGGACGACTTCCAGGATTATGAATACAAGACATGGGAGATTGTTAATATGGCTGAAAAGACGCAGGTTTCCGTTTTCTTTCAAAATTCTACATGCTACACCTATCTTAGGTTTCTTAGCTATCGAGCCTAACTTGTATGTTTTATCCTACCATTTTTAGGCTGACACAATGGATGGAATAAGAAACAAATGTAACGAAAGCCAAGAATGCAAAATGGTACTCCCACACTTGTTACTCCTGTTTCAGGACAGCTATCGTACGGTATGTGCTGCACTTGATATGATGATTTACCATATGGTGGAACCTTTTTTTTAGTGATTTACTATAGTAATTATCTTTCAGCTATATTAATTCATTGAGTAATTGTACCAACATGGACTCGTTAAACTGTTAAATGTATTGTTCCTTGTATACATTTTAAACTAAGATAGCACTTATCATAAACCAATTAGTTGTGCAATTTTCCCTTCTATGACAAACCATCTCTTCCTCGTGATGAAATCTTTTTTATACTTCCTGAAGGATCTTTGTGTTTATTATAAGACGTTTTATTCTGTAATCTGTATGCTTTTGTTGTGCAAAAAATTTTTTTTCAGCATATTTTTCAGGATCCAAGCATTTATCATGTGTTTCTTATGAAGAACATCAGTTTGCATGTGGAATTTTTATCTTTGTTGCTTTTCCCTCACAAGAGGTATGCATTTAGTGCAAGCTTCTTTGTTTTCCTATTAGCAACAACAAACTTATGATTTCGAGAGAGTTAAACTTTCTTCTTTGACCCACATCCTTTTAAAGTGCAAAAAATGTATATTCAGTGTATAAAACACGAGGAGATGTTGATGACTAAGAAATCAGGCATGCTTATGTACTGTACTCAGTGGCGTAGCCAGGAATTTTTTTTGCCCTGGGCGAGTTGGCGACGGTGAGGATTTGGTCGGGGCGATCGTCGGAGAGCTTGGGATCGGCGTCGAGGCTCGAGCGGTCGAGGGCTTGCTCTGGGAGGCGAGGAGGGCGACGGCGACGGCGAGGATTTGGTCAGGACGATCGTCGGAGTCTCGGAGAGCTTGGGATCGGTGTCGAGGCTCGAGCAGTCGAGGCTTCTCTGGGAGGCGAGGGGGATGTCGGCGAGTCGGCGACGGTGAGGATTTGGTCGGGGCCGTCGTCGGAGAGCTTAGGATCGGCCGTCGGCGTCGAGCTGTCGAGGGCTCAGGGCTTGCTCGGCGAAGAGAGGGCTTAGAGTGAGAGGGGTATTATTTTTTTTTCATTTTCTTGCCCTGGGCAGCTGCCCTGGGCAAGTCCTTAATAGCTACGCCCCTGACTGTACTAGAGAAGCTTTCAACACTTAGGATACCATGTTCCTTCTAGTAGACCAGCTTTTGACACTTGACTTGGCCAACACTACTTGATGTAATGAAGTTGCATTTAGCTATATTGTTATTTGATACTATTACGACATACTTTGGAAACCGTTACACATGGAGCCGAGGAATCCATATATCCGTTTGGCAAGCAAATCAAATGAATATTTTTCAAGCTATAGAACACAAGCAGTGAATAACTTAGATTGTAAGTTTTCTAAATTTAGGAGGAAGTAATTTAATTGATATGTGCATGACACATACATACGTAAATGCATACATATTATGTGCTGCATATGAATGCATACGTGGATACATGTATGTTTCGACAAAATGGGTATTATGCTCTGTAAAGATGAAACTTACTACCGTGAGTTGTCCTAACTCCTATGTCCATGACTTGACCTCTTGATCCTCAGTGCTTGGTCTGTCAATCAATATCTCCATCATTTATGATTATGATATAAAGCACTCAGAAGATTAATGGAAATTTTGTATTTCATTTTCTTTCTGTTAATGTAAAGTTGGACGAGAGCCAAACATTTACAACTACTATAGAATCCTATCAAGACATTTTAAGCGACTAAGTTTCTGTAACCCTTCCTCTTTAAGGCTTAAAAAAGAAGAGTTTAAAAAGAAAAAAAATGGAGGAGAAAGAGTAGAGGAGAAAGGGATAAGAGGAAGGGAGTTACGTGATTACTATTTTATGTCTCCTAATAGCATCCATTGATCATTTATTGTCTTTCTTTTTTTTTTCTAAAATTGTATGTCATCTTTATAGTCGACTTCATTATATAAATTTGCTGATTGTTGATAAAATGTTGTTTACCTCGTTGAATCTTAGAGAATAAACTCCTGAATACAAATGACACATTTCTATTGTGTTTTTTGTAGTTTAATAAAATTTTGTGTCAAGTAAGAACCCGTAATGCGAGCAGAATGAAGCACATGTGCATGGAAGAAGAACCTCAGAAGTCACCGGTATGTCTTATCATCATCCAAAGTGGTATTCATTTTCTGCACTGTAGAAGGAAATATGAAAAGCTACATGAAAAAGTAAGAAGGGAGCTTTACTTTTGAAAAGTTTCACAATATTAGGAGTACAATTTTTTTTTTTCATTTCTCTTTATATTATTCGTTGTGCTGAAATGATTTTCAAGGTAGAGGAAATCTAAGTGCTTGTTTCCTTTCAAACTTGACTTTTATGTTATTGTTTTGGATTCCTTCTTCCAAAACCTGATCCAATCCTCTTGCCGAAATTTAAATCTCTTCAATCATAAATCATATAGAACATGTTTTTTGGTTATTGCATATTATTTTGTAGTCTTATAGAGCTCAAGCGTAAGTTCATCTATGGTGCAGGCGTATGATTTAGAATGTGTGCCTCTCTATCTTCAAGTGATACGTGGAGATGCATGCAGTCAGTTATCTGAGTTTGAGGATAAATTTGATTACTTGGTTTATCAAGCATTACATTACATTTCAAGGTTACAAGAGACGGGTGGAGAAATTTTTGTAATACGTATGTCAGAGAACAATTATGAGGTTATAAATTGCTCAATAACTTTTATCTCCTGAATTATAGTTTCAGCCTTCTACTAAGATTTAATCTTTCACAGCTTCTGACCTCAATTGTGGAAGCAAGACTTAATATGTATGACGCTAGACATGAACTTCAAAAAGACCTTCAACGGAATGTGGTCCAATCTTTTCTTTCATGGAAAAGGGATCAAGTGTCAGAGCACACGAAGAATCATCCAATACATGAGTCCCAGGTACTACTACTTGTTTCATTATATTTAAGCTTCTCCTTTGTCATATTACTAATTCATTTGGGACCATTGCAGTTGATCAAACAAGCATTGGAAATCTACAGAAAGGGGCAGGTGGAAATCATTCAGAAAGAAAAGGAAAAGGTTTGCATCATCTTCTCTACCGTGCCACCTTAATTGGTTATTGATATCAACCTTAAATGTCCAAATTTGCAGGTCGAGGCAATAGAAGATATTTTAAGAGGACATGAAGAACATCCAGGATTTCAAGAAGCACGGTGCTATTTATTGGATTTTAAGGAGGAGTATTATGCAGTGGTATGTGCAACAAATATGGTTGACATGTGAGAGATTTTTTTTAACTATAGCAGTTAACATTTTGCCATCTAGCATGTGACCCAATTGTGAACTTTTAAAACAATATTATTTTATTTTTTCTTTTTAGCTTGTCTTGTA